ACATCCTTAAAAACAAGATGTTATAGTTTTGAGGTTTACCCTTCTGAGGAGTGTAAAGTTAGGAACATCTTTCACATGGTCTTTGCTCATTCTTCTCCTCTTTACTTACTGTTTATGTCCTTAACCTATTTTCCACTGGTGGTTGCTTTTTCTCATGAGTTTTAAGGCTTCTTGATGGAGTCAAGATACTGATATTGTGTCTGTGACATGTGTATAAATCATGTCTCCTAGTCTGTGGCTTGTCTCTTCCCTTCATTGCATTTATAGCTTAGCTTCTTGATTTCATAGTGCCATGTAGAAGATACTGAACTGGTTATTCAGTGAAGCCAAGGATTCAAAATAGTGATGACAGCATGTTCTGCCCAAGCATTGTGTGGAGACTGGGACATGGGAAGCTTGGGATCTAATCATGATTCTTCCATACTTGAGTCTCCCTGGGGCAGTTGCTTCGTCTCTATGTCTTGGGCTCCTCAACTGTAAATGGGAGGATGAGGCTAGATGATCTCCCTGAGCCTCTGAGCACCTTCCTGGATGTAAGGCTTCCTTCCCTCCTTCCTTCCTTCCTTTCTTTCTTTCAACAGAGTCTCACCATGTTGCCCTTGGTAGAGTGCCATGGCGTCACAGCTCACAGAAACCTCAAACTCCTGGGCTCAAGCAATTCTCCTGCCTCAGCCTCCTGAGTAGCTGGGACTATAGGTGCCCGCCAACATGCCTGGCTATTTTTCTATTTTTAGTAGATATGGGGTCTCGTTCTGGCTCAGGTTGGATGGATGTTTTCTAACACTGTGACTCAAGGTCTGATGCCTCAAGTAGGTAATGGCAGGAGCTGTGTGGAAGAGCCCACCTTCATTACCTTAGGAAGTGACTGTTCGGTCTTGCTCTCCTGACTTACCCATAGGGATAGTCACTGTCATCTGTGCGCCCACAGCACCTGCTCATATTGCTACTATAATACCCATCATGTTGTTCTGTTGATGGCGGCTTTTCCATTTATGTCTCTGATTAGATGGTGAGCCTCTTCAAGGGCAGAACTGCCTTTAGAATATTGCCAGCATACACCATAGCTCCTGACTCAGGGTGAACCCTCAGTGATTGTCTGATCAATGATGGCTGGAGCGAGGGAGGGAGGGAGAGAAGGAAAAGGGAGGGAGAAAGGAAGGAGGGAGGAAAAGAAAGGAGGAAGAGAGGAGAGGAGAGGAGAAGGAAGGAAGGGAAGAAGGCAGGAAGGAAAGGGGGAAATGGAGGAAAAGAGAGAAAGGAAAGGAGGAAGGAAAAAAGGAATGAAGGAAAAGAGGAAAAAAGGAGGAAGGGGGGAAGGAAGGAGAGCGAGAGGAAGAAAGGGAGGAAGGAAGGGAAGAAGAGAAGACCAAAGGACCTAAACCCCTGCAGATTTACACTCAGTAAACACAACAGAGTTACTCAGTTTCTCATTTGAACAAAGGACCATCAACAAATGCTGTTTTACAAGCAGAGTCAGTTTTTCAAGATCACACAAGCAAACAATGGTGTGCTTAATAATGAAAACCAGTAATCTCTGATTCTTGATCTGCTGTTCCCAGTAAAAGGGGCTGCAGTCTCTTTATTTTAACAAAAACAAACTAGATTATTTTCATCCTTCTTATGCAACAAAATATATTACTTATAATTTGGAATTTTTCCCTTCTGACATGTTTAGAAAGATTAAAAAGGGAGTCTCTAAGTTTTAGGACCTTTCATAATTGTGATCTGTATGATATTAGAGATGGAAGTACTTAATTCTCTGAGATACACTTCACTTTCCTGCTTGTAGTAAACATAGGAAGAAAACAAGATCTATGTAATGAAGTGCTCTTGTTGTCATGACAACAGGAACAAGCAACAGGAGGAAGAATGTTAGGCTGTGAAGAATGGTCTGTTACATGGTGTCAGGGTCCATTAAATATGGTCAATACCCTCTCTTTCATTTAGTTTTGCCTTTACAGGGCTTACTTCATTGCTACAAATGTAATTCAATTTTGTCAGCTGAACATTAGCCTTGGGAAAGCCAAAGCAAATTCTGAACAGGCTCTTTATCATTTCCTGGGGGTAATATATTATCTGTTCCTCTTTAAAAGCTGCCCAGTGTCTTCTGTTGCCTACGCTAATATATTTTTTTTGCAATTTATTATGCCAGTATCTCTGAGTTTGTTTGTATTATGACTCGTAAGTTTATTATCAAATAATAAAAAAGCAAATGAATTATAAGAAACAGACCACAAATAAAATGAGAGTGTGGAGACGAACAGGGCACCGGATCAACATGGCGGTGATACCTCTGTTGTGCCAGACAGTTTCAGTCCCCAAAGGCATTAGCTTCCAGACAGGCTCTAACATTGGTGATCTCACAGATGTGGGTCTCATAATAATGGACAGTTGGCAGATAGCTGACAGATGGGATCATCCCTGAATCATTTCTATACAAGGGTCCTTCCCAAAGCATAGACCCCAAACCATGTACATCAGAATCTCCCAGCATGCTTGTTAAAAATACATATTTTAAAGTCCCATTTCTGATCTGCAATATCAGAAATGCCAGAGGTTGACCTGAGGGATTTGACTTGCTAAAAGGCACACTGAAAATTGAGAATCATTGCCTTAAATCAAAGTTTGGGGAAAAAAAAAAAAAACGAGGGAATTCCCACTGTGTACTAAGTACCTAAGAGGGCAGAGAAGGTTGCATGCTAAGTGAAAGAAGGGAATCAGATGAGCTCAAGATAAAGCTCACCTATTTCACAGCTTTCCTTAGGTTTTACCTTGATTCTCAGTGCTACAGATTTAAGCCAGACTAAACGACACTGTAGGGTACCGTCAGCAAAACCCAGAATGTGGGACTTCTACAGAGTAAACTGCTGCTTTGTGAACTGCTTTCTTTAACAAAAAAATCCCCCCAAAAGGAGGGAGGGGCACCGGTTAGGTTAAAAGAGCCTCAAAAGAAAAATGAACCAAATACAATGTGTGGATCTCATTTTTACCCAATTTTTATTAAACCAAGAAAAAGAGCAATGTTTTGAAACAAAAAAAATTCCAATACCATATGTCTATTATAGATCAAAGAATTGTTAATTTTATTAAATGAGATAATGATATGCATTTATGGTTTTTTTAAATTTCTGTTTCATTAAAAAAAAAAAAGAGGTGGCTTTATATTTTAGAGATAGAGATTTAACTGTTCACAGAATAAATAATAGGATCTTTAAATAACCCAGTGGGAAAATATGGAGGAAATTGGAAGAATAAACAAAATAAAACACATTTGTTAGTAATTATTAAAGCTGGATGATTCGTGCATATGTGTTCATTATAGGACTCTTGTTATTTGGGGAAAAACTTGAAAATTCTTCAGATCCATGGAAGGCCTTTTCAGCAGAGACAGGACAGATGAAATAGGTGTCCTGGGGTTCTAGGCCTGCGGGTAGGAAGACCAGCCAGGGGGCTGACAAGGAAGGGTGCAGTGGTGAAGGGCTGGTAAGAGTGTCACTGGGAGTGGAGGGGAAGGTCTGAGGACAGTAACAGGTAGAAGCAGTAGGAGCTAAAGGAGGGAGCTAAAGAAGGGTCACATTTCATTCCTGCTTGGATGAATGGCTGTAGGGTGGGGCCACTCAACTAGCAAGAGAACTCAGAAGAAATTAAAGTTAGAGGTAAAAGGAGTGATGGCTTCCATTTCCGACACATGGAGCTGAAGGTGCCTGAGGAACATCCAGAGTTTAGGAAAGAAGGTCTGCCCTAGAGATACGATTTCGGCAATTATCAGTTGCAACATAATTTCTATGGCAACATGTAGGGTGTAGGTAGGCACAAGAAAACACTCCCTGAGCAAACACTTCCTATCAGATTAATAAATGACTCTTGGACTGTTTTAACCTTTAAAAGCAAAGCAGTGGCTTGATCATGGAGAATGTTACAAGAGAACCAAACAGCAATATGTGATACCTGGGCTTTTCTTCATCCTCTCGATTTCCATGCTGAATGTGTGATAGATCATCGGGGTTTTAACTGTAGGATTTTCTTCTTTCATTTTCTTTCCCCCAATTTCAAGAGAACACTGGCCATTAAAAAAACAACACCTCTTGGGGAATATCAATTTTTGCTTTTGCTTTCTACCTTCTATTTTGTTCTCTTCCAGGTTGCCAATGCTATTTTAAAAAATTAAGCAAAACACTAAAACCATCTAAAATCCAGGGCCAAACTTTAATTTCCCATCTCTAATACAGCCATGACTGAGTTAAATTCTTGGGTTGACAAGTGTATTTAGACAGAGCCACGGAGCTGCTGGGTTTTTTTTTTTTTTTTAATATTTTATGTCAGGGATTGATTTATACCTTGGAGCCAGGCAAAGAGAGGAAAATTCAGCCTCTGAGATATTTGTTGCTGGGAAAGCGTCATGATTTGTCATTGGTGAGAACACAAGGCCATCTGCTATCCTTTAATAAAATGTGGTCATAATATTTTTGTTTGAAGCACAGAATGATTTACCAACTCCAAATTAAAGTTTTTCAGCAATGGAGGGTCTTAGAGGGGGAGGATAAGGTTATTTTGTTTTAGGATTTATATTCAAACAAGAAGAAAACCACATCAGTATCTTTCTTTTCCCCCCTATTCTGGGTCTATTCTCAAAATCTTGGGCTGACTATGCAGTTCCAATTTCTCAGCCTGCTATTTGAAGACTCTCTAATTTGGCCTCATCCAAGACCAATTGAATGAGAAGTTTGGCAGGTTGGACCCAGGCATCGTTTTTGGTGGTGGTGATGATGTGTTTGGTGGTTTTAGTAACTCCCCATACAATTTCAATATGCAATCAAATTAAGACTCACTCTGGTTACAATACAAATGAGGAAAAATAACTGAGGCATTTGGATTACCTCTGGTGAGAAGAAAATGGCAGCAATTAAAGTTTTTCTGAGCCTCAGAGGGCAGCTGGGTGTGTGTGTGTGTGTGTGTGTGTGTGTGTTGTCTGCATTACCTCTCTCTGCCCTGCCAAGCAGGTGACTGCCGTGAGGGTATACGTGAACAGTTCCTCTGAGAATCTCAACTACCCAGTCCTTGTTGTGGTTCGCCAACAGAAGGAGGTGCTGTCCTGGCAGGTCCCTCTGCTCTTCCAAGGACTGTAAGTGAATTTTTTTTCCCCCCAGACAACTTTACTTTATTTGGTTTTCTTCAATGTCCTAACTGGGTTTTTTCCAGTAAGAAGAAAAAACAGACATTTGGGATGTTGAGATATTATGCATACAGCATGCAAAGTGCAAACAAAAGTCATGGTACATGCCCTGACCTGTTCAGCTCTGTTCCATTTCCATTCTCTTGAATTTCAGATAAGCACCCTACCTAGATTTGCAACACTTAGATGAACTTTTACCATTTTTAACTTCTACCATAATGATCTAGCTCTTGATCAGATAAGAGGTCATCCAACAGCCATCTAATAAATGAGGAACACCTCCCTCATTCTTAGAAATGTCCACCATGCATGCATTCTTCATGAATAATATTTACTGAGCACTCCTGAGTAGTGGGTGCTGGGGGTACAGCAGTGGAGAAACAACAAATTCTCTGACCCCCAAGGAGATTTCATTTTCTCAGGGGAGAACTATTTATGGCACTATAGCACCAATAAGAAAAAACTCAGAAGGCAAACAAAATGGGCACATAGTATGGTGTCACATCGTTTTTAAGGGTTGGGGAATTTGAGGATTGAAATAACAACTCTGATAACCTTGACTTGGATTCAGGGGCTTCCATTACCCTCTATTTTAGCAAAAATTTGAAGAGTAGAAAAATGGAATCAGTTGTTTTATCAGCACAGTTTCCCCTCAAAATTGATATATTTTTCATCACTGAATTAGGAGGATGGTTAAGTGTAAATGTAGATACGGCTTAAGTGAACGGGTCAGCACAGAACAGTCCTCATGTACCTGTTTGAAATTTAAAACAAAAGGACTTGCAAACAAGTTTGGAGATGGGCTGTCCTGTTGAATGTCCTGTCATTCTCTTGCTTTTGCTGACTTTTCCCTCCCTTGGCTGCTGCAGATACCAGAAGAGCTACAACTACCAGGAAGTGAGCCGCACCTTGTGTCCCTCAGAAGTGACCAACGAAACAGGCCCCCTGCAGCAGCTGATATTTGTGGATGTAGCGTCCATGGCACCACTGGGGGCCCAGTACAAACTGCTGGTTACCAAGCTCAAGCACTTCCAGCTCCGGTAAGCAGAACTCATGGTGGCCTTTCTCTGTTTACTTGCCTGAGCTTCAGTTCAGCGTCCACCTTCCCAGATGAGCATTCTAGAAGCACATTATTTTAGCAACTTCTGAACTCTCCCACCCATATCTATGCCATAGGGACATAACAGGGGACTGGGGCAGAGGGTAAGAGCAGTTGACCTCATAAGGTAAATCTGTTTTGAAGGGCAGGGGTGTGTGTTTGCATGAGGGCCCTGTCCAATCTCTAGTCTAGAAAAGAACTCCTGGTGACTGGGTACTTTTGTAGTACTAACCAGCACCACACTCCTGGAGGAAATTTTGGTACTGTTTTAAAGAAGACTTTAAGCTATTTTTCCTAAACTTATTACTATTCTGGTTTTCTCCTTCCAGGTTAAGAACATAGGTAGGAATGTGACTTTGTCCTTTTTTGGAGTGATTAGCGTTACATTTGCTTCTGTTTTTTTAAAAAATAAAACAAACATGCAAGCCCACTGAAAACAATAGGCATGAGACTTGGACACTCCACCAAAGCTACACAAATGGTCAAGAAACACTGCCTCGTTAGCTATGAGAAATGTAAATTAAAACTATGATGCGATCCCACTATAGCTACCAAATTGCTATAATGTGAAAGGCCTGACAACAAAGTTCCACTCCTAGTTACATATCCGACTCTTAGATGTATAATTATGGTATTCATTCAACAGATATCCCCTAACAACAGGGATAAATGTTAAAATGTTAAGCCAAAGAAGGCAGACAAAAGAAATACATGCTGGGTGATTCTGTTACTATCAAGTTTAAAAACAGGCAAAACTATTGTGTGAGGTTAGAAGTCAGGATAGTGGTACTTTTGGGGAGGAAAGAAGAAGTATATGGCTATGTTTACCTGGTGATAATTTATTCAGATATCATATATGCTTATAACTATATACTTTTATACATGTTTGTTATATTTCAATTAAAAAGGTAATTTTAAAAAATAAGAAAATTTGAAAGGAGTATATGCCACTTTTTTAGAGCTTATATTTCTGATCAGAATGTTCTGCTGTATTGTAAATTTCTCTTTAAATTTGCTAAGGGCAGTTTATAAAGACATCTTGTAGCCCATGGAGTGGCTCATAGGAGTTAAATGTTTATCTTGGTCTTCTCTACTCCCTTTGACATAGTTGTACTCTAGAGACAGCCGGACACAGGGATGAATGAATGAGCACAAGGGTAGAGAAGTCCTCATTTTTCCCAAGTCTTTCCATTAATTCTGGTGTTAGAAAAAAATGGTCTGATAATTTCCAGACCAAAGAATACTCTATTCCCCACAAAAATAAGCAGAAAAAATTCTCTAGTGCAGTGGTTCTCAACCTTCCTAATGCCACGACTCTTTAATACAGTTCCTTGTGTTGTGGTGACCCCCAACCATAAAATTATTTTCGTTGCTACTTCATAACTGTAATTTTTGTTACTGTTATGAATCGTAGTGTAAATATCTGATATTAGGCAACCCCTGCAAAAGGGTCATTCAACCCCCAAAGGGGTTGCTACCCACAGGTTGAGAACTGCTGCTCCAGTGGATATGATCCATCCAGATCAATTAAATGAGGATCTCTGGGGGGAGGTTTAAACATTGGCATATTTTTAGAAGTTCCCCCAGGTGATTCTAATGTACAGCCAGAATTGAGAACCACTATCTGAAAGTAATTTCTAAATAAGATGCTTAAGTTTAATTTAATAATTTAAAAATCTATTTATAATATTTAGCCATATGGGAATTCACAGATTTTTGATGGGCATGGTAGCACATTATGGTGCTTGAACAGATGTAGTTAGAACTTCAGAGAAGGCTTGTCTTTACAGATTGGTCTCTGTGTCTTTGACCTGTCACTGTCACCTGGTGGCAGTGAACTTGAATTGTAGGGCTCATTTTCTGAGAGGTTAATTAGACCCTTTGCAGATCTGAATTCTGCAAAAAGGAAGTCATAAGGTCACAATTCTGCGTGAGTGTTAATGAATGACTTACACGCTGCTGAAACTGCAAATCTATTCCCTCATGTTTTCTGTTTTTATTTCTTAAAATATAACTTAGCCTCAGCCACCAGACATTGAAAGAATTTCAAAATGCACATAGTTACTGGGACTTTTATAAGACCAAGATAAACCTGAGAAGAGATTGGCAGCTGAGATAAATGTTTCTTCCTCTCTGGCTCCACTAGCCTTGCTGGTGACCCAGAAATCCAGAGGGAAGAGCTAAGGACTGTGGTAAGAACTGGGATGCAGGTATTGAGAGAAACACTCAAGAATTAACTTAGAATTTCTAACATTGCAATTTCTATTGTATGTTTTAGAGTGGCAGACTCTATGGAGTGTGAATAGAACACATTTGGGGAATTTTTCCCCTAACATCATAAATTTTAAGAATTCAAGGGCCTCTGGTAATCTAATCTACCCACCTCCTTTTCAGAGATAAGCAAACCGATGCCCAGAGAGGGTGAGTGACTTGTTCAAACCCACACAGCAAGAAAAGGGCAAATTCTTAGGACTAAATTCTACTTCTGGCTGTCAGTTCTAAGCTCTTCCCACCATAACATGCCATTTTTACTTTCCTCTCAATTTTACTATCCTCTCAATTTGCATGTTCCCCTAAATATGTTTTTCAATTTAATAAAGTATTTATTTGTTCAAATCCATCTTTAAAAATAAAACAACTCTGCCTTAACACTTTGCTCCCTGCCATCTACCGATCCGACACACATACTTACAACTTTGCCACAATTCTCCTCCCCACACTCCAGTGGCTGGGTGTTCAGAGTTGCTGGAGTGTAAAGTTGCAGGCAGGAAGTGGAAGCTGGCAGGCTATGGTCCTGGGGTGAGAGGGGCTTAGAAGCAATGTTAAGGAATGTGGATGGTAGCAGATGCTGGCATGGTTGTGGAGACCAGGGAACACTTTGACACTGCTGGAGGGATTACAGCTAATACAGCTTCTGTGGACAGAAGTATAAAGAATCCTCAAAGAGCTAAATGTAGACCTTCCATCTGATCCCACAATGCCATTACTAGGTGTCTACTCAGAAGAAAAAAAATGTTTTATCATAAGGATGTCTGCACTAGAATGTTTATCACAGCTGAATTCACAATTGCCAAGATGGGGAATCCACCCAAGTGCCCATCAACTCATGAATGGATGAATATACTGTGGTATATATGTACCATGGAATACTATTCAGCCATTAAAAAACATGGAGACCTTACATCTTTTATATTATCCTGGATGGAGTTGAAGAACATTCTCCTTAGTAAAGTATCGCAAGAATGGAAAAGCAAGTATGCAGTGTACTCAATGCTAATATGAAACCAGCAGATGAACGACTACATATCCACATAAGAGAAAAGCACAATTAATTCAAGTGGAAAGGGAGAGGGGAAGAAGGAGGGTGCACGATGTAAGGGTGTACGGCACACCCCCTGGGGGTGGGGCTCAACTACACCTTGGACTTCACCTAACTATCAAACAATGTAACCTAATCGTTTGTAGCCTCAAATTAACCTGAAATTTTAAAAAGTCAGTAAAGTTGTAATACAAAAAGAGACATGTAGACAGTTGTCTACACTATGATAGTTCAAATCCATTCTCCTACAGTGCAAAGAATGGATTTGAAGGGGACAAGACTGGATGAAGAGAAGTTTGAAGGCCAATGCAGTGGTCGAGATAAATAATGAGAAGATGAACCGAGCAACTTAGGAGATAAAACTGATGAACCTTGATTGGAGATGAGGGGAATGGAGAAGTCAAGAACAACTGTGTAGCTGGTAAATAGAGAGTGGTACCACTAAATGAAAGCAAAAATTTTGAGAAGGTAAAGAAATGATGCTAAATTTGCTTTTGGACATGTTGAGTTTGAAGTACAGAATTCTGGCGCAGGGTTGGATATATGCCAGCATGACATTCAGGGGAGCAGTCTGGGTTAGAGATAGCAAGCTAGTACTCTTAGGAAGTAGAACCCCTCGGGAATCATGGTCCACAAGGTGCCCAAGGCAGAGCTGGAAGAAACAGAGCTTGGAGAATCAGGCAGTACCCAACCTTGATCTTTAAGATCTTAGGGAGTTGGAATTCCACCTTTCAGGTTATGGGAGCCATTGAAGGGTTTAAGCCACAGAATAGCATGGACAGATCTGATCTATACAAATGACTTGAGTGGCAGTGTGGAAAATAAATCGGATGGAGGAAAGAGTAGAGGCAAATAGGCATACTAAAAGTTGTTTGAGTAAAGAAGAATAAAAAAATGGTTAAAACTTGAATATATATGGCAGCAACAAAGTTGTGAGGGAGAGAAAGAGGCAAATTATATCCATGGGGATAATTCACAAATTCAACAAATACAAAGGGTGCCCAAAAATGTGTACACACTTTTTTTTTTTTGAGGCAGAGCCTCAAGCTGTCCCCCTGGGTAGAGTGCTGTGGCATCACAGCTCACAGCAACCTCCAACTCCTGGGCTCAAGCGAGTCTCCTGCCTCCGCCTTCCAAGTAGCTGGGACCACAGGCACCCGCCACAACACCAGGCTATTTCTTTTTTGGTTCCAGCCATCGTTGTTTGGCGGGTCTGGGCTGGATTCGAACCCGCCACCTTAGGTGTATGTGGCTGGCGCCTTAGCCACTTGAGCCACAAAGAAGTTGAATTGAAGCTCCCATTCCTGATCAAGCATACGTAGACATGATACCCACATCCATTTTACCTGCAGTTCATACGCTTTTTGGGAAAGGTAGATTTTACTTCCACAAGATATCTTAAAATGTGTATAAATTTTGGCACCCCCTGTATATGTGGCAGGATAAATAATATAGTTCTATATGAATACTTGCAGGCTTCCACCCTCCTCCAGTCTTCTAAGTAGGGATTTTGAGTCTGTTTTGAGAGGAGAGGGTATATGAGGGAGATGGCCCAACTACCATGCTGTGCAAAGTGATCCATTTTGTAGAGAAAATGAATGGGTAAGAGACTTTTAGTGCATTCTATGTGTCATACTCTGTAATCACCCTTTGGTATTTGGGGAAGATTACAGTAAAGGTGTACATTACCTTTCCGTGTTTTTCTTGTTGATGCTATACTGGGCAAAGATGGTGCTGCAGATAGGACCAGGTGCATCCAGGTGACTTTCACACTAACAGAATGAGTAGGTCTTAGTGATCAATCAGTTATGGAAGGCGATGGAGAGGGAGGAATCCAAAATAGCTCCTACAGGGGCACTGGAATTCTGGTGAGGTTTACTGACAAAGAGACAGGGTCAGTCAGGATCAGGGTAGGGGAAGCAAGTCCTTTTTGATCATGAGGAGTTTGAGGTACTTGAGGGATGGTCAAGTGCAAAAGCCCAGCAGGTGATCAAAATTGACTGACATTTTGTGGTATTTATAACAAATAAATATAAATGTACACCTATATGAATATATAGGGCTAAAGAAAATGAGAAAATCAAGAGACAGACTGAGGGTGACATTCTTATTTAAGGAATGCTTAGTTAAGGAACAGGAGCTATTCAAAGAGGCTGAGTAGACACAGCCAAATGTGAGGGAGAAAACCAGGACAGCAGGTGTCAAAGAGGCCAGGGAAGAAAAACAAAGGGAGTGTCAAATGTCACAGAGAAGTATAGATGACAGCTAAGTGACTGGATTTAGTAATTGAAGGTGCTATGGTCTGAAGGCTTGTGTTTCCCCAAATTCCTATGTTCAAATCCCAGTCCCCCAGGGGATGGGATAAGAGGAGTCTTGGTGAGATGACTAGGGCATGAGGCTGGAGCCCTCATGGATGGGATTACTGTCCTTATAAATGAAGCCTTAAAAAGACCCATGGCCCCTTCCACCATGTGAGGAAGCAACAGAAAGTCACCGTCTGTAAGGAAGTGGGTGCTCGCCAGATACCAAATCTGCAGGCACCTTTCTCTTAGACTTCCCAGCCTCCATAGTGTGAGTAATAAATTTCTGTCTTTTACAAGCTACCTAGTCAATAGTATTTTGTTATAGCTGCCTAGACAAGACTAAGACAGGAGGTGACAATTATTCTTAGCAAAGGCAATCACAAGAAGATGATAGAGAAAGAATCCTGATTCTTTCAGTAGGTAGAGGAAAGGAGGAATGAGAGATGTAAGTAGAATACTCACAGAAGCAGCTGGTTTGTGAAGGAGAGGGGAATATAGGATGACATTAAAGAGATAAGGGACGCATTTGGGGGGAGCTATTTTGTTTGCTATTTATTTTAAAAATGGTTGTGACTGGAGTATATTTATAAACAAAGGGATCGAAAGGCAGATTAAGTTAAATGTTTGTAGAAACAAAGTTCAGGGAAAGGCAGAAAGGATAGGAATTTAGTGTGTGAGTGCAGAGTTTATACTGAGACCTGAGGGATTCAGGGTAGAGGGCTGAAGGTGACAAGAGGGTGAGTGAAAAGGTTAGATAATGAAGAGGATTCACAGCAGATGGCAGTGAGGAGATAACAGAGGAAGCTATTCTGAAGTCCATAGTCCAAGTGGATAGTAGAGTGTAATTTCCTTCAACAAGCAAAGAGGTGGGAGTCGAATGCCGACTGTGCTCTGTGCTGGGCTAGCTAATACAGGACGAGATGAGTAAAGTGCCATGACTCTCGTTGTCTCTGGAACTCACCAGAAAACTACTGAACTTGTGTCCCTGCCTCTCCTTCTGCTTACCCTTTCTCCCCATCCCTTGCCTTTCTTTTTCTGTTGTTTTTGTTTTCTTTTTTGAGACAGAGTCTTGCTATGTCGCCCTCAGTAGAGTGCCAGTGCGTCACAGCTCATAGCAACCTCCAACTCCTGGGCTTAGGCGATTCTCTTGCCTCAGCCTCCCAAGTAGCTGGGACTACAGGCACCTGCCACAATACCTGGCTATTTTGTTGTTATTGTTGTCCTGGTTGTTTGGCAGGCCCAGGCTGGGTTTGAACCTGCCAGCCCCAGTGTATGTGGCCAGTGCCCTAGTCACTGAGTCTACAGGCGCTGAGCCTCTTCTGTTTTATCCTCTCTGTCCTTGTCGTCCCCCTCTTTCTGCCTCTGCCGCAGGCTCCCTTCTGCCTCTTCTTCCTGTGTCTTCATCTACACCTGCATCACTCTGCCTCCATCTGTTCCTTCCCCCTTCTCCCTGTCCTCAAAGTAGCTCAAACAAGAAAACAAACTTGCTTTTTAGTATTGAGGAAGCTTTTGCTGCTTCTGTTTATTTTTTGAAACAACGAAGTAGAAATTTTACACTTCTTTCTCTAAAACTAATGGTGCATGAGTTTCAGTTAGGTTACTCTGTTGGTTAATGACCTGGGATGAAAGAAACCTCCCACCCATTTGTTAGGGCCTATGTGCAGGGAAGCAGAATGTTTCATTTGCAACAGACAATGTTTATTTTGCACCTAGTGTTGACTCCAGGAGAAAGAAAGGACTTAAACCATAGTCTTGAAGACAATAATGTTTCCCAAGTTTGCAGTCATTGTACTAGCAAATAAAATGAACAAGAAAAACAAAAACAGAAAATGTATATCAATATCCGTACATTTAGTATTACAATTGAAATTCAAATAATAGGAGGATATTTTTAAAAATCTGGTCAAAAAACACAGGTTGCTTCTGAAATATCATACTTTTACACTGTCTGTTGCTAGCCAAGAAAATTAGTGTCCTCTTCATTCTTCTGGCTTCTTGGCAACAAAGAGAGTTGAGGCCTTATGTTGTCCTGGTAACAGTGGGTGACACTCCCCAGACTGCTGAAAGGGTCCTACCCAGCCCACACACAGCACCACAGGTCCTAACTTTGGCTGCAGACTCTTCTGGAGCAGAAACACAACTGGGTTTGACACTGACTTTGGCATCTTTAGGTGTCTTAAGGCTAGGAGTTTTCAACTGTGTTTCTACAGAACGAGCCCTCCACATTGAAAATTATTTCTGTTGAAAGCAGTTATGTAAAAATCGCATCCATTGTTGCAAGGTAAATTCTGAGCCCAGTCCAATGACTGCCTAAATGGTCATGTCATTACCTTTATAAAATAGTGCCCCAATTTTATAACTTTTAAATAGCACCTCTAATTATATACTTCTTGCTTAAATATTTTGACATGCCCCTTCTAAAGAAATATTTGATTTTTTAAAAAGTTAATTTTTATGAGAGAAAAATTCAGAATGGAAAGGAGAATCTTCAGAGGGCTGCAGGGTATCAAGCTGATGAGGGCAGTCCAGAAGTTCAGGTTTAGAAGCCCAGAAATAAAGACTGCTTCAGGAGCGTGGGAGCAAGTCCCCCCAAGGGTGGCAACACAGCTGCCCAGGGACTTAAGAATGTCGTAGACTTATGTGAATGATCTTCACAGCTAGCAATGAGGCAAGAGCCAGAAGCAGCCCTTACAAATTGTAGAAGAGATGAAATCTGTCTTTTTATTTTCTAACCTTTTGAATGTTTTGCAGACCACACTCTATCCTACAAATTTATGCATCCTTCATACACCTCACACTCTCCTATCCTCCCGTGCCTAGATCCTTGATGGCTGCCTTTCATAGAACAAAGGGAAGTATCTAATAAAATAATTCACAGTGAATTACTAATTGGAGGCTTGGTGCCTGTAGCTCAGTGGCTAGGGTGCCAGCTATGTACACTGGGGCTGGCGGGTTCAAACCCAACCTGGGCCTGCTAAAACAACAATGACAACTACAACAACAACAAGAAAATAAATAAATAAATAAAAATAAAATAATAATTACTAATCGGAGAAAAACTAACTTCATTCTATTCTTTCAGTGGTATTTACATTTTAAAGGAGAGCCTTACAGAGTAATGCTCAACTCAAAGCAGACTACATTTCAGAGAAGAATTTTGGCTGGTGTGGCAGGCAACTGGGGCGGTGCATGAGGCAGGAAGAGCACACTCCCACCCCTAGGAGCTGTCCTATGGTGGTTGTCTATTCACCATGTGAAAAAAATCACCTTTTGACATGGGTCCATGAAAATTATTGTGAAGTGCTATCTACTTTATCCAAAAGGACCTCAAACCTGTCTTTTCCCTCTCTTTCTGCCCACTTCTGACACCTAAACCCTGTGGTTAATTTCTTAAGAAAGTCTCAAGGCAAAAATGGTTACAAACATAAATAGAGTACTTACTTCCATAGGTGTGACTTCGTGGATATTTAAAGACATAAAAACAATGTCAGCCCCCGTTTGGTCATTCTTAAGAGTTAAGGCTATCAAGTCCCTCTGTAATTTATTTTAGGAGTTTGATAAGACCAAAGCTTCCTTCACAGAGCGTAAGGCTCTCCTCACATCAGGTTTAACCTGGCTTTCTTTTAAATAAATAAGTTTTGCTTGCTAACTTATGCTCTTCTCTCATCTTTCACCCTTTCCCTTCTCCCACCTGCATTTCTCAGGACAAACGTTGCCTTTCACTTCACTGCCAGCCCTTCTCAACCTCAGGTAAGTGAAAAGTTCCAAGAGTTTTCAAGAGCCTACCAAAGAAACCATGGTAACAGGTAGAGTCAGCATGTGGTGTTGCCCTTGGTCTTTCACAACTAGAGAAATAACCTGTATTTGTGTTCTGGTTTGTTACTTATGATACTGGGGTTTTGGATACATTTAATTTTATCACTTTAGTTGATGTAAAACAGGAGGCATGACATTTGTTTTCAGGTGTTCCTTGGCTCAATCTGTTTGAGTAAATCATGTACCTACTCCTACCAATCTCCTGCCCCAGTGTGGTCGCTCTTGAGAGTCAAGACCATCAAATCTCTGTGCAGTTGATTAGATTGGACTTGGTGCTGGGGACATGAGGATGAAGAAGAGAGAGACACAGCTTCTTCCATAACAGATCTGGTAGTTGGGAGGAAGGGAGAGAGGAAATAGAAGGCTGACACTAAACAGATACACAAATAATAACTGATCTGGAAATATAATGCAATAAAAATAGGACTAATTTTCATTTTTACAATGTTGTGGGTGGGATGAATTAGTTCCATCCAGAACATATTACAACATATTATATTAACCTGTTGTGAATCTGCTACAATCACTGACGTGCTGGTAAATATTTGACATCTGATTCTCAGAAAGAAAGCCCTGATTTGTAGTGTTTGCCTGTTTCTGTGGTGTAAATACCTCTACCATGGCTGATTTCATATTGCCATTGCAATGTTGAAAACTGATTGCCAGTGCAATCAGTTCATAGAAGCCTGTGAGAACCTCCAACTTTTAAGAGTTTCATTTCCGCTTTCAGTGTCAAGTCTCTGCAGTGCATACATACTGCCATCCAGTGGCAAGAGAGGGCCACAGGCCCATGACCTATTGTCCTCAACGTTAACTGACCATTTGATTTCAAGTTGGTTTGGTTTTTTTGTTTGTTTGTTTGTTTTGCTTTTGAGACAGTCTCATTCTGTCACCCTGGGTAAAGTGCTGTGGCATTATCATAGCTCACATCAACCTCAAACTCTTGGACTCAAGAGATCCTTTTGCCTCAGCCCCCCAAGTATTCGAGACTACAGGCACCTACCACTATGTGTGCCCTACTAGGGTGTTTTTGTTGTTTCTATTTTTAGTAGAGATGGGGTCTCACTCCTGTTCAAGCAGGTCTAAAACTATTTTTTTTTTTTTTTTTAGGCAGAGTCTCACTCCATCACACCAAGTAGAGTGCTATGGAGTAATAGCTCACAGCAACCTCAAACTCTTGGGCTTGAGCAATAATATCTTGCCTCAGCCTCCCAAGTAGCTGGAATTACAGGCACCCACCACTGCACCTGGCTAGTTTTTCTATTATTAGTAGAGACGGGATCCTTGCTCATGCTGGTCTTGAGCTCAAGCTATCCACTTGCCCTTGCCTCCCAGAGTGGTAGGATTACAGGTGTGAGCCAACCACTCTTGGCCTCAAGAAATACTTAGAAAGCACCAGTTACTAGATGCAATGGGAGATACCTAAAGAAAGAGAACAACTTTCACTCTAAATACAGAAAAATACAGTTTAATAGTTCTTCACAGAGCTATAATAAATATGATATACTAAATGTTGTATTCACTATACAATATAATAAAAGAGCTTGTAGGCTGAAAAATCAGTAATAAGTATATATTATATCTTTTTTATTTTTAAAAAGTGAGTAAATATTAAAGCCTAAATAATTTGCATATAAACCTCAAACTGTAGTAAAATATACTTAGAACAAACCAATAGAACAAAACAAATTCCTTGACTTCTATGTAAGTCTCACTTTACTGTTCCCATTTTGGCTTGTATTTTATATCCTCTTTGATTGCAAAAGAAAGTTTTCTGTTTCTATAAACTCACTCAAAGGACTGCACATTCTCACATAACTGATGGCAATCACTGTCTGCCTCTATTTCTGTAGATAGAACTAGAAACAGGGCAGGTAGTCAGGACCAGGTGGTAAGTTTTAGCCTAAATTCCAGCCATTGCTTTTGGTACTTCTCATTTGCTTCTTTCTTTAAAAGTAGCTTGTCTGGGTAGACGTCAAAACATTTATTTGAGCTTTATGGTAACTTAGAAATAAAGAAGGTTGATAATATTTTGGCACGTAGGTAAAGTTCCAGTAGGTGGTTATTGCTTGCATTAAATCAGTTACTATCCTATATAGAAACATGTATGTTGTTCATTATTACTGACAGTAATCATAATAATGTCTTGAGTTACAAAGTGTGGTTCCCCTGAAGACCAAGAGCACCTCTTGGGAATTCCAGTCTACTCATCTTCTGAAGAGCCCTGTACTATATGTATTTGAATCATGCTTCAAAAATCGCCTTTTGAGGGTATTGCCATCTGTTATGAGGTGTAAATATATTTCCAAATAGCATGATTAATGACATCCTTAATCTCAAGATGGTTTTTCCCCATTAGAAAGCTCTGGGTTATTGAAAAACATTTTATTTCTACTGCCTTAGTGCTCAAAATATGGTTAGTAAAGAGGATGGCTGAAAACAAAATTAGGTTTTGATCTGCTTTGCCTCTCTTTTAAAAATAATAAATTTATTAGAGTCTAAGGATATGGAGCTTCTTTGGGTTGGTTTCCTTAAAATCTTTATCATAAGCTTAACATAGCTTCTCAACCAGTTATCATATTTGTAACTACTGGACAAAATTCTCCTTTCTTCATCATCAGCAACATGTGTACAATTCAAAGTTAATACATTTTTCCAGTGGATTCATAATCTAAGTAGTTAAGTAGTACTATGTATAACTTCTTTCAATTAGAAATGTTTCTTGTTTGGTTTTTGGTTTTTGGGTTTTTTGGTTTTTTTGAGACAGAGTCTCACTATGTTGCCCTTGGTAGAGTGGGGTAGCATCACAGCTCACAGCAACCTCAAACTCTTGGGCTGAAGTGATTCTCTTGACTCAACCTCCCAAGTATAGAAATGTTTCTTGATTCTGGTGACATTTGGGGCCTACTTTAAAAGATACTTCAGCCTGCCAAAAATTGTGGAGATATTTCAAAGGACCATACGTAGGCTTTGATCTTTCTATCTAAATATCTTCTCAGTATATTCCAGCCAGCAAATAGATTCTGCAGAGAAAGATCTAGGGGAAAGATTGGTCTAGTGCTAATTCTTAACTGTGAGAAGGCCTTTCCAGTATGGGGCTTCATATTTCAGAATGACCATACAGAAGTAAATTTTGTCTCATGTTATATCCTGTATATCTCTAGTTCAAAGAAGTTGGGGTGGCATTTTTTAGGTAGGAAATAGACTGAAATGTGGCAAAGTTTGGTTGAGAAGGAAATGGTCATACAACAGAAAAATGAAATGGTATCTTTGTTTATTTACTGCTGTCTTCCTCATGTCTGGCACAGCACCCTGCACCCATTGCACCCACAGAGCAATTAGTTGCTCAATATGTATGAGATAAATGGCTGAGATTTACATATGAATTTTGCACCTAATAGTAGAGAAAACAATCCCATTCATGTGAAAATAAATGTCTTTTTTTTCTTATTCTCAGTATTTTCTATACAAGTTTCCTGAAGATGTGGACTCAGTTATCATTAAAGTAGTATCTGAAATGGCTTATCCATGTTCTGTTGTCTCAGTCCAGAATATCATGGTGAGTGCTGATAACTTGTCAACCTTATAATATGGAGCAATAATACTATCCCAGAACAAATGAAAGAGAGGGTTGGGGACCAGGTCACCCTCTTAATGTGTATCTCCCCCAAAATTACCAAATAGTAAGAACAGTATCTGTGAAGACAAGTGGGCAGTCCATGTTTGAAGACATTCATTTAAAGAGATAAAGAATAGTTGACTTCTCACCAAAATCAACAAAGAAAACAAGGAGGGAGGGAGGGAAGAAGGGAGGATCATGAAAAAAAAAACAAAAGAGATCAAGTTGTGGGTTCCCCAAGAAAAATAAAATGGAAACCTACCATTTGTTTTTGAAATTTTATTATAACATTGGGTCCTTTCTATCTCTCAAGGTCTTAACAAAAAAATGGGGAAACTGTTATATTTTTGAGACAATTAGTTTATAGTTCCCTTTAATATAAAGTGACTGACTTTAGAGGACAAGGCACCAAGCTCCCTTGACTATCTTAGGGAAGAACTTTTCATGGTTTCTGTCCTAGTAAGGACGCCCCTGCTCTGTGATCCAGGTGAAAAGGCCCTGACAGGACCTGTGTGTCATATGACATTATATGATATTAAGGATGCTTTCCTTTTTATCCATCACATGTGCCGTAGTGCCCAGTTTATGATCTTGACCACAATGTGGAATTTAATGGTGTCTATCAGTCCATGACCAAGAAGGCTGCCATCACACTACAGGTAAGTCACTGCTTCTGTGGTCATTATTATCGATGACAATCCTCAATTGATAGTTTACCTACCGGACCAGCATCCAAAAGGAATGGCCATGCACTGTGGTGCTCCTTCCTTTCTGATTTGTTTAAAAACTAATATTACCTGAAATCCAAGCCTGAGTAATGGTAGACAATGCAACTCTGCCAGGTATCTGATGCAATGGGACACACATCTGACAGATCGCTTAGAGATGTAGGGCCAAAGGATTCCAATCTATTCACTTGTGTGCCAATTTAGGGTGAAGTTTATTGTATCCATTTAAAGCAATTATTATCTGAACCAGTAACAGCAAATAAAAGAGGACTTCAGCTCTGAACAAAGTGGACAGGGTCAAGGGAATATGAACCACATTTGTGCAACAGTGCACACTTTTGGTATTTGCAATCAAATGATTGTTTCAGGGGTCAATTTTAGCAAAACATACACAGGTCATGTCAGCATAATTTCAAAGAGATTCTGTCCCTGCCTTTAGGGTGGTACATATCTGAGTTTCCTGAAATTTGACCTGTTCTTTAGGGTAAGGTGATGCTGTCTATTGAAAACAAGCAAAGAATGAAGAAAGGTTAATTATAATTTAGATATTAGACCTAAAAATTAATTTTTGAGGGCCTAAGATTTAATATCCCAAATATTTGCTCCTGTTTTTAGAATTTATTTCTTCTTCAGAATTCCAGCATTCTGTGGTCCCAAATTAAAAAGGACAGTAAAATTTCCATAGTGGAGAAATTAGATTTTAGATTTAGAAAATTAGAATTTAGATTTTACATAATCCAAGACACTAAATTAATGGAGAGCAAAGCATATTAGTCCATGTCTACCTTTGGATGTGTTTGGCAATAAATTATTACTTCTCTCTTGAGCCTGTGCTTCAATCTTGGACTATGTTCTCAGTGATAGCAGAAATTTGGGGATGATATTTTTAAAAATGCAGAGTTGTAGAACTCTAATGGACCTCACAGATCATCTTGTGAACCATACTTCATTTAGGGATAAGGAAACAGGGACTCAGAGAGGCAAGTCAAAGCCTAGACCATAACTCAGGTCTTCTGACTCAAGTCATTTTCCTCCACAGCCTAAATTATTTATTTAACTACTGACTGAGTGGCTTTTAGGAAAGTTATTTATGATTAGATTTTAAAATAAAAACTTAATATACAATATTAACTATTAAACACAGGTCATTGACATACTATTTGTATGGTATCTACTGTAGTTCTAAACATTCAAATGGGTACAAAATAGATTGAGATCAGAACAGTGTATCTATTTAATTTCTTGGATGTGACAATTATCTCATTGTGGATAGTCTAGAGTACATCATGGGTATGTGAAAATCCTTTCTAAGGAACCGGAGGGCAGGGGTGAACTTTACTTTCCTCTCTTTCCTCTTTCTTTCTGCCCCCCACCCCCAGGGACTTTCTCCCTTCTTCTTGCTATCTTTTGTACTTGCCTATAATAAGGTTGTTATGTCTTATGCAGAAGAAGGATTTCCCAGGAGAGCAATTCTTTGTGGTGTTTGTGATAAAGCCTGAAGATTATGCCTGTGGAGGATCTTTCTTCATCCAGGGTAAGAGTTAGTGGGGAATACTCGGCTATTTAGGAAGACCTGGGGATGCCTTTGTCAAGAAAGAAGAAAAGAAAGAAAGAGAGAGAGAGAAATAAAAGAGGAGAGGAGAGGAAGAAGGAAGGAAGGAGAAAGAGAGGAAAGAAGGAAGGGAGGGAAGGAGGGAAGGATGGGAAGATAAGAAAAAAAGAAAGAAGAAGGGAGGAAGGAGGGGAGGAAAGAAAGAGAAAGAGAGGAAGGAAGGAAGGGAGAAAGGGAGGGAAGGAAAGAAGGAAAATGAAAGGGAAGTCAAAATTCATCTCTAGTTCCCACTAAGTAAGAGTCCTTCAGCATCACTTGGCAAGATAGTCTGAGAGATACTTGAGAAAAAAACAAAAGGAAAAAAACAATACTTCTAAAGGTATTAGAGACACTGCAAAATATCATTAGTACATTTCATCCTTTCAAAGCTTTGTATTCCCACATGCCATGTAAGGTAAGTTCACTCTGTTAACTCTTTACTCAACAAATATTTACTAAAATAAAGTAATTATCATATACAGAGGATCAAAGTTCATTTCCCAAGATTACTTTGATAGTCAGCAGCAATGAAGCCATGTGGATTTATCAGTAGTCATCATTTTCATAAGTACGTCAAGGAAAATTCAGAGTTCTCCATCCCAGTTGTAAAATTATACCTTGCAAGATAGTAAAAAAGCCAAGTATGAAACTTATCCCATTGACAAGGGGCTGCATGAGCTCTTAGGCATAATACACATAGTTTAAGTATACAGTTAACTACCTTGGAATTGGACTAGTCAGTCCACCAGCCACTGAAGAACCATGTGTGACTAGACAGAGGGTATTTACTGTTGAGTGTGACATGGTTCCCTTGGCATTTAGGTGAAATTTCTGTTTTCTTTAATCTCCTACATACATGGTTGTGGAGTTTTACTGTACCACAAGTCCTCTGATGGCTAGAAAAATGTAAGCCGAAGGAAGAGGGAGCTTTCTATTTTGTAGCTGTTTTCTTCAGATGTCCATGGATGTCAGGGGCAGGGTCAATCCTTCTTCATTGGAGAAGGGTGCTGCAACCTCTTGTACATTGTTAGTGCTACCAGAGTGCGTCTGAGCAAAGGCCCCATTGAAAGAGTCTTAACCAAAAGGGATATGAGACGGTTTGAAGGTTTAGGGGTTAGACCTTCCTCCAGTTCTTGCTAAAATAAGATTCAGCCACAAGAGTTAATTCTGGATAAATTTTTAACAACTGCTCAAAAGGGCAGCCAAGAATCTTATATCTGATTCACTGTGACTTGTTCTTTCTCTCTCTCTCTCTCTCTCTCTCTCTTTTTTTAACCAGCAAAGGAAAACCAAACCTGGAATCTACAACGAACAAAAAACCTTCAAGTGACCATTGTTCCTTCTATTAAAGGTCAGTGTTAACTCTTGAAAGCTATGCAAAGATTCTGACTTCCTGGGAAGTCATCACTGTGAAAAGTAGCCTTTCATGGATAACGTCTGGGTGACCCATCTGAATGAGCTTCTGAGGACTTAAGAATGGGTGTGATAGATGTGGGCCCTTTAAGCTGCCTTGTCTCAGACATGGTCTTCTTTACTCCCAAAGACAGCCTGACCAAAGTTGTTTCTCTCCCCCTCAGAATTTGTTTACGTGAAATCTAGCCTCTTCAGTGTCTTCATCTTCCTCTCCTTCTACTTGGGATATCTACTTGTTGTGCTTGTTCATTGTGTGAGGTAAGTGAAAGGCTTCCAAATGTTAACACCCCTTGCCTGTCTGTGCAACGATTAGAGCATAGGCTTTAGAGCCATATTGACTGGCTTCCAGTCCCCCTCAGCCACTGTGGGACCTTGCGCAAGTTACTTAACTCTCTCTGTTTCCTTATCTCTATAATGAGATAATAATTTATAGGATAGAATATCACTGCAATGCGTACATCAGTATCATGCACATAGTAAGTGCCAGTAGAGTGCTGGTGTTCATAGTCCAAGAAACGTCAAAAAAAAGGCAACTTATATATTTTTTAGACCAGAAGATACTCATTGTCAATCCTTCAGAATATAAGAAATGATCAGTTTCTTCTAACATGAAGGTTTAGAAACAGCCTTAAACATTCTACCAAAAAGTACATTTAGTGCCTTAAATAAAGCCTGAGGTACAATAAATAGCAGGGGATAATATGCTTTGATAACACATTACCCAGTGCTTTCCCGCTGTGGTAGCATCAACTTTGCAGCACAATGTCCCTTAAGGGAGAGGGAGGATAATTATGCAGTAACGGTGACCAAGGAAATTTCCCTTCACAAGAGTTTGGAGGCCCCTGATGAAAATAGCAACAGTCTTTCTAGGCCTCTCACGTCACAGCAGGGTTAAACCTTGAGAATTCCATCCTTTGCTGTGCTCTCTGTGAAACAACTACAAAAGAATGGCAGGAGGTTTACAGTAAACAAATGTTCTTTGTCTTCTTGAACTCTGTAAAGAAAACAAAGCCACATTAGGGTTTTGAGACTATTAGGCAAGAGAGACTCCATCTGTAGAAAGACCTTACAGCTACCTGAGTGATACAACTACGTGCCTTAATGACACAGGGCTATCTCTGACTCAAAATATAACTCCTTTCTGTGATCTTTGTGAAGCCTTTGAGAAATATTCTGCTTTGGAAAACAGTAGGTGACTACTGGCGAAATCTGGGACAATTTGAGCACCAAAGTTATTGAGAATTATAAACCATTGTAAGAAACTGAAATTCATGAGTCAATATTCACAAAGAAAGGAACAACCTCAGATGTACATACACCCAAATTTCAACAAATTTACTCAAACAGGTACCTTAGGGAAAGGAGCCCTTAGCAAATAATAGCAGTGGAAGGGAGGACCCTTGCATACGGCAGAATGCCAAGAGCTAACTGGTAAATATGGAGGGGCTGCTGGAGTTGAAAAAAATCACCATTTTGCAAACATTATAGTAAAGACTAGACAAGGTTAAGAATCACTACTGGATGCTAAATCTAGGGGGAGAGACCTGATGATGACCAAGATGTTTATATGGCCTCGAGATCCTCACAAATTGCTTAGTAGTTTTAAGTTAAAAGGCAGTAGGTACGCTGTGATGAAATCCAACACATGGGGTGATCAAAATTAATATCACCAAAGAGAAGATGGACATTGTGTGCCTCCAGATTGACACCCTGAGAAGGACACGGAGTCATTTATATGGCATTCCAGAAGGGCATATTTTGAAACTAATCACGTGGAAAAATTAAACAAACCCAAATGATAAACATTCTATTAAAATGTGTCATAAAAGAAAAAGACCATGGAAATGTTCCAGACTGACGGAGTCTAAGGAGCTGTGACAACTAAAGAAAATACCTCATCCCTGACAGGCTGGAGTGCTAAAAGAAAAATATACTGTAAAGGGCGTTATTGGATTGGCTAACAAAATTAGAATACAAGCCAGGCGCAGTGGCTCATGCCTATAATCCTAGCACTCTGGGAGGCCAAGGTGGGTGGATTGAGCTCATGAGTTCAAGACCAGCCTGAGCAAAAGCAAGACCCCGTCTCTACTAAAAATAGAAAAACTGAGGCAAGAGGATCGTTTGAGGCCAAGTTCAAGGTTGCTGTGAGCTATGATGCCAGGGCACTCTACCCAGGGTGACAGCTTGAGATTCTGTCTCCAAAATAAATCAAAATACAAATAAAAAATAAAAAAAATGGAATACAGATAGATAAGACATCAGTACTAAATTTGTGGAATTTGATAACTATATTGTCATTTTGTAAGAGAATATCTTTAGTCTTTGAAAATATTTAGAGATAAAAGTCTATGCTTATGCAACTTACTTTCAAATGGTCTAGAAAAATGCATATATATACGTACATGTATATATACAGCTATATATGGAGAGAACGAATGATATTATAAAGCAAATTTGATAATAACTCTAATAATAGGTGAATCTAGGTAAAGAGCATATGAGTGTTCAATGTTCTATTCTTGTTCTTGCCATTTCTCTGTAAATTTGAAATTATTTTCAAATAAAAAGTGAAAAGCAAAAAAACCAGACTACGGACAAATATTATATGAAAAATATTTACATTAACTGATTAGCATCTCAAGTAATTTATCATATCAGTCACTAATATCTAATCAGCACCTGCTCTGTGCCGGGAAGTGTGCTGAGCCCTCTAAGTAGAATATCTCATCTGATGCCCACAACAGTGGCTACTATTATTGTCGCATGTGACAGTTAAAGAAATTGAAGCATAGAAGGGTTAAATAATTTGACAAAAAATTCACAGCCAAGAAATAAAGGAGCTAGCATTTGAACTCAAGCAGCCTGGGTCCACAACCTTAGGTCTGAAGTAGCCTAATCAGGATAGGTTTGAAGTGGTCAAGGTATGTGATTCTCCCTCTCCACGGAGGCTGGACCAAAAGCCTGGCACCCCAGCAAGGATCTGGTTGAAAGAGCATTCAGAATGCTTCCATTTTGCCTAGGATGAGTTGTAACGTCATGGAAAAGAAATTCTTCTCCTCTGCCTCTCCTAGGAAGATCATCTCTACTACTGATGTTTTAGATTTTAGAAAACAGGATTACTCCTCTTTAGCTGGTATGCGTAATTAACAGATAAACAGATTAAAAATTAAGTTAATCACTGATTATCAATCTCTCTGAAGTGCTGGAAGCAAGCACAGTTTTTGAAAGCCATGATACAGACTGTTGAAACTTCTAACTTGCAAATTATTTTGCTACAGTCAAATGCACAAGCATAGATTTTTTTTCCAAATATAGATAAACTAGAAATAGAAATCTGGAGACATGAGAACTATTTGGCGTTCTAAATAGAGGAATAGACCAGGAAAAAAATGCTAATAGGAGAACATGTCCTTCATTAACAAAGCAAAATAACAAGAGTTTTCTACAAAACCATCTGAGGCCAGTCCTCTCTGCATAATGCCATTTACTTGATGAGGCCCTTAGATCTTATTATTAATACATATGAGATTTGTAGTGCATGCTATGAGCTCACGATGGAAAACATTGATAAGAGGCATGGCCCCTACCCTCCTGAATCCAGTCTTTATGCTGTATTAGCCTGAAGTTAAGCCTTGTTCCCTTCCTATGCACCAGCCCCAGCCCATTCATCATGTAACATTTACTAATCCCCCTGCAGTGAATGTGCAGGCTCTGAGCCAGGCATAGCATATGTGTTTCTTATTTGTCCTTCTCAATCCCACTGCCAGACATTGAATCCAAACTGCCCAGTCCTGATTATTTTCCTCGTCTTTGGTTCTTGTATTAGTTATCCATTGCCACAATAATGCTGCAATTTAAAAAGCCACAAAAATTCCAGTGGCATACAGCACTAAATATTTTTCTCATAAATCAGTGGGTCAGCTGGTTAGTTCTGCTAATCTGAGCTGGGCTCAGAGACCCCATCTTGGTGTGGTCATTGAGTGTGATCAGCAGAAGTGGTTGTTCCAGGCTGGCCTCTTCTGTACTTGTTTCTCCTCCCCTGGCAGCCTGGCCTGGGCTTACCTGTCTCTGAGACTGCAAAAGGCTGTCAGGCCTCCTTAAGATGTGGGTTCAGTATCGCTTTCCCCTCATTCTACTGGCCAAAATAAGTCCTGATGCCAGTCTAGATTTGAGAGCTGAAGATGTAGACTCCACCTTGTGGTTGATTCACCACAGTGCTAGATAATTGATTTTGCAGTCAATTTAGTTCAATTCTCATTTGCTGTTGTTCTTTTATTCACTGGATACTGACTGTCTTATCCTAGTTTTGTAAATCATTTAACTCTTCTTCTTCTTTTTTTTTGTATTGTTGGGGATTCATCAAGGGTATAAGAAACCAGGTTACACTGATTGCATTTGTTAGGAAAGTCCCTCTTACAATCGTGTCTTGCCCCAAAAGGTGTGGCATACACCCACTCCCCTCCCTCCTTCTCTCTCTCTGCTCTTCCTTTCCCCCACCTTGCCCTCCTTCTTTCTCTCTCTGTTCTCATTTAATTCTTCTAATGAAGAATTTTATCTGTTCCAAACCTTAGCGCAAATGTGAGTAAAGCCCATTAATGCAAATACATAACCCAAACACATCATCTTCTATGAGTCCAGATAATTGCTTGTGAGTCAACATCATTAAATTTTTAAAAAGAAACTTCACCATAGCTTCATTTGCTAGCTAGAAGAGTCAGGCCAAATCATAACTGCTCTCCTTTTTTTCTTTTTTCTTTTCTTCTAACTACTCTCCTTAATGATCTTCTTTATTCATTCAACAAATACTAAGTTATCATTTCCTATGTGCCAGCCATGTCCTAAAGGTTAGAGATGTAGGAGTGAACAAAAGAATCTAGATCCCTGCCTTGATAGAGCTTACACTGCAAAGGGGAGAAACATACAAGGAAGTAAGCAATTAATAAGGAAAATCATTCCAGCTGGTGGCAAAAAGAAAATAAATACAGTGGTATGAGAGAATGATTGGATTGGGGAAGCTAGGTGGGATTTGATTTGGCCAGCAGGGAAGGCCTCTCAGAACCAAGACCTGAAAGGCAAGGAGCAGCCACACTTTTAAGGATGTGGGGAGAAAGTGACAAACAAGAGGGAAGACCCAGAGGCAGGGATGAATTTGATGTGTCTAAGAACAAAAGAGGCCGGAAGAGATGTTCCTCCTCCAAACATACCAAGATCAGTGTGTGCAACTTCTAGGGTCTCCATCTGGAAGTAAATAAGAGCAT